AGATAAATGATATATTATTAATAAATATATATTATTATTATATTATTAATAATAATTATTGTAGTACATTAAGTAATGTTTATAAATGTAAAATATATGTTTTTGAAATAGATTAATATTAATTTTTTTTCTATGTAACACGCGAGAGAATCATTCGCAAAATTAATTAGGAATATATGTTTTATAATTTATTCTTTTTCTAAAACTTGATTTGTCAGAGTTTTAAAACATTATAAAGGCATTACAGTAATTCTATTTTGATGAATATATCAGTGCATTTATGTTTAACATTTTATGTGCAAGTAAGAGCACGACGGACTGCAATATGTAAAATACTGCAAGAAGGATGTCATAAAGGAAAACTATAAAAAACAGATTTCATAATCATCATAGCTTACTTTACGCACTTTACAATTGACGCTGAGATTTAACGATGGGCGTAAACTTTTATAAGGATTTTATTAATGATTATATATCAATACAATCATTAATAAGATCCTTATAAAAGTTTACGTCCATCGTTAAATCTCAGCGTCAATTCTAAAGTGCGTAAAGTAAGGTAGCTTTCTCAAACAATCAGAATATTACAAGCGCGCTAAAGTTGTTTCTCATGTTGTCTGTATAAAGTATCTACTTATATTTATAGATATATACACACAACGTATCGAAGCATAAGCGGCATATTTATTCTTTATTAGAAATTTTTTATAAGAATGGTTGAGAGAGAGAGAGAGAGAGAGAGAGAGAGAGAGAGAAAGGGGGAGAGAGAGAGAGAGAGAGAGAGAGAGAGCCGTTATTAAAGATTTGGTTGTAAATCACTGTTCACATTTAAATAATTGCTTGAAATTTTCCAATTTTTATTAATAATAAGTATGTTAGAAATATAATAATTTTTCTAATATATATAGGATGATTCTAAATAAGTGCGCAAAATTTTAGGAGATGATTCATTATCGAAAATTAAAGAGGGTCTTTCATATAAACATATACTCTTATATCCCTCTCTGAGAAGTTACACTTCTCCAAAGCGGAAGGTGAAAATTAATAATCATTTCTAACATTTATTATAATTTTGTTGTTTTTGTTCCATTTTCTTCCAACATTTATTATAATTTTGTTTAGCATTTAGTACTATGCTGTGCATAATAATGTATTTTTTTTTTTTTTTTTTTTTAATTGATTTTACAAAAAAAATTAAAGA